ATTTTGAAACAATCGTTCTGCAATTCAAACGCTCTACTCATCAATTCAAACCGGCAATTCTTCCATTCCAACGCTTAATCTTCTAGGTCAGATCTGCTGTTCGACTGTGGAGAAATCCAGTTGTTTAATTTGGTAACGCTATTCATCACTTCAAATATTCGAACTCCTTTCCCAAACATTTAATTATTCGATGCGAACACGATACCCGTCACTTCCAATATATACGCAATCCTTCAATTCAAACATTCAAACCTTCAACGCAAACACGCTGTCCTTTGTCGTCACCTGGAAACTAGCCCGGCCACGCATGCGTATTGGGAAGAAGGAGACGAAAAATTGGATACGACCCTTAAAGCAGGAACGGTTGGACGGTGGAACGGTAGATTGGCGGAAAATGATCCCAACTCCTAAAACATGGAGCGGCGGAAAATGGCCCCAAATCCTAAAACACTCAAGCGGTTGGCTCATTCATCCCCACGACGATAACGCGCGTGACCAAAATTAAATGTTATCAATTTTTTTTTCTTTTGCTGAGTGGTATGAATAATAATGAACTGTTAGACATGAAAGATGGCTACGTTTTCGCGTTGTAAACCTGTTTAGCTACGTTTTTTTATGCTAAATTTGCCATGAGTTTTAGTCGCGGCATAAAAAGTCGCACAGCATGTGAAAACTAACTTGAGTGGTTGTGAGGGTGGAACGTGAGAGTGAATGGAATGCGGTCGGAATCTTCCCTTTGTGACGTTTGTAGTGCTGAATGTCGATCAATAAGTTGGGCGCGCTGGTAACCCGCTTGAACGTCCAAACTTTGACTAGCGTGAGAGTAAGCCCAAAACACCACCATCCTACTATTAAATTTACGGCTTACATATCAGCGGAAGAAATATAATTTGTGGACAAAAAAGAGGCTATTTCACTAATTCGTCTAGTTTGCTGTCTTTTAAAGTGCAATAATGCTGGTTGGAGACAAGTATACTGGCAGGCTTTATATCGCGGTGGACGATCCCAAAGTCATGCAAATGTGCAAGTCGCCGTTTCGAGGGCGATCTTTTCTTGAAGTGGAAGTGTCTATGTACAAAATTCGCGCAACATGCCCTGACATCCGTTCCGTGTTTTAGAATTTGGGGCCATTTTCCGCCGCTTCATGTTTTAGGAGTTGGGATCATTTCCGCCAATCTACTGTTCCATCGTTCCACCGTTCATGCGTGGCCGGGCTAGTTTCCAGGTTACGACGAAGGACAGCGTGTTTGCGATGAAACAAAC